TATCACCATAGTAGCTATGATGTTGGTTCTACATTGGGAGATTGTCATAGACTAGGATTTCAAAAGAAAACCAAGACTTAAGTTTTCCTTAAGTCTTGGCTAGGGTGGTGATAGGAAGCCATCTGTATCATAAGTATCATTTTCAAACTATATTTCTAGGAACCCCAAAAACACATTATGGCTCCTAACACCTCAGTTGTCCTTCACTGCTAATCTTTCTACTACTATACATAATGAAAGGGGACTACTGGGCACATTTTAAAGTGCAAACTCAGTCTGCCCAAAGCAGCAGCTATACCCAAGTGGCCAGGCTGAATCCTTGTACAAATAATACATTCTTAATAACACAATCAGCTGGTTGGATAGCTCAATAGTTTAGGTATCTGGATGCAGAGTCAGAGATTGGGAGTATGATTCTCCACTCTGCGTCCTAGAAGAGCTAGCCTGTGTGGCCTTGGGCAAGCTACACAGTCCCAAGGTGCCCCTAGAACAAGAGAATAGTAAGACACTTCTGAGTACTTCTTACCTAGAAAACTCTAAAAAGGGTATCGATAAGTTAGAATTGACTTTGTGGCACACAATAAAAAAAATAACACAATTACAGAGAGTTCATGCAGGAGACCAGCAGTATGGAAAGAGATCCCTAACAAAAGGAAAACTGAGAACAACCCAGCTAAATCATGTCAGAGAGTACATAGAAAAAGATAAATCAGAAGACCCAACTGAATGGGGTTTTTTTAATATGCAAATATTAAAGAAAGGAATTATGTGATCATGTTTGTGAAAACAAGCTGTAACCTAAGAAACAGCATATTTAAAAAAAGATACATTATCCTATAGTTTTTAGGAGTCCATTAATTGGCATGAATGAAGTAATAGTTTCATGTGATCATCCAAAATGCATGTCATTACAGAGCAACAGTGCAGTTTGTAGAAGGCCTTTCCAGATCTCCTGCACTTTGCTGACAAGCAACAGTAAGAACCACTTGGACTGTTGCTTGTCACTCTCCTAGTATCCAAAAATCTCTCTGAGCCATGTGATCATCCAAAATGCATGCTATTACACAGCAACAGTGCAGTTTGAAGGCCTTTCCAGATCTCCTGCACTCTGCTGACAAGCAATAGTAAAAACTACATGGACTGTTGCTTGTAACTCTCCTAGTATCCAAAAATCTCTCTGAGATCACTTCTGTAGATCATTTGGTCATTAAAGAATATGAAAAATGTAGTCCTATTCCTCACTCCCCCAACCAGAAGCAATGCAAGCAAATATTTCTTAACCTCCAAAATCCCTTCCCCCATAGGTCTAAGTGTGAGCAGATACCAGTTTACAACAGCATGAGAGTAGAAGCACCCTCTGATCTTCCAGGCAACAACATCACTGCGGTTGCAACACACACAGAGGACATTCTGTAGGTCAAGTGTTTTCCTGTGGCTGTAAAAATTATTTGCATGTCCAAATTCCCAAAAGAGCAACAGATCATATCTGTATCTTGAGGAATGCAGCATAAGCTTAGCTTTTTGTGCTTTTTTTTTTTCAAGGCACCAACTGGAAGCCATAATGCTATGCTAGTGATCTATGCCAATAGTGTAGTATGTCATGGTGCCCAACTACCAGGCTGGTTAAAATCTGACATTTAACCATGCACTATCCAGGATACCTATCAATTGTACAAAAGGAAAAGAACCTCTGCTGTGGACTTCTACTGCCTTTAACAGCACAGTCAAGGGCAGTGATTTGAAACTGCATACAGTTCCAAGAACAAAGCTAGAAATACACCAGAGATTCAGGCTGGGTTTATCTCCAGAAGTGGAAGGCCAACAATAAATTCACAAGCAGATTATAAATGTCAATTGTCATACCTAGTTTGCACCCAGTAACTGATAATTATATAAGAATATTACCACTGAAAATCAAGGGGAGCTGAGGTATTTGGGAAGGCTGCATGGGGGTGGAATATTCATGTACTAACATCTGTTTAAGCTCTAGAATGTTCCAAGGACTATCACCCAGGCATAGAATAATCCCGTATGTGCAAATTCATGAATGACCATGAAGAACTGATATTTATAAGCACACTACCTTTTAAAATTGAGGTTCAGATTTCAAAATATAATGGCTGCCAAAAGACTCTCCATTTTTGACTGTTTTTTTTCAAAAAGCAGCTATCTAAGCCAGCGGTCCCCAACCTTGGGCCTCCAGATGTTCTGGGACTTCAATTCCCAGAAATCCTGGCCAGCAGATGTGGTGGTGAAGGCTTCTGGGAGTTATAGTTCAATAACATCTGGAGGCCCAAGGTTGAGGACCACTGATCTAAGCAATGGCCCCAAAAGGTAAATTACAGTTTGGGTAAACAAATATTTCAGAACACATACAGGAAGTACTTATTCACACAGTACAAAACTAATGTGTTGGATTTGGCTCTTAGTCAGGGCTTTCACTAACCTAAAACACTAAAGGACCTGAGGTTTACTACATTGGGAGATAATTTATAACTCACTCTCTTCATTTTATCTGTGACTTTACGAATAAACTATGCTTGTGTTTCTTTAGTAACACTTCCCCTAAAAGTTACCAAGAAAAAGTTCTTCATCCTTTTTTCTTTTTTGTAGAAAAGATCCTGCAACTCCCCAGTCTTTCCAGTTGCCGATTCCGGTTGACTTTCTTTTGAGAAGGCCACAACAAAAGTAATTTACCTGGCTTTTGAGTACTTTGCCTACGCTGGCAAAACACTTTCGGAAAGCTCTGAATAAAAAGCACAATCAACTAGAACACAACAGAAGATATTAAATTATTCCTTGAGTAATTGGTGTGGCTAACAATGCCTCTGGGACTCTTGAAAAGTAGGTGGTGTGAAAAATCACAGATGCACTGGCTCCCTTCTCTCTATGCCAAGTCTGACTGAAGAGTCTTGACCCTTGAGACAGGAAGAGTAAGAAAGCAGCCGAGAGAAGGCTTTCCTTGTCTACCAGCATCCCAAACCAGCAAGTCACTGAAAAGGCCATTCAACCCTTGAGAAACAGCTGTCTTCCTTTAAAAGCATTCAAAAGGTATCTTTGTCCAAATCTATTTCAACATAGAAAAACCGCAATAATTTAAACATCAGTCTGTCAATTATTAAAAGTTGTTTAGAAAGATCAAAGTGAAGATCCTATTGAGCTTTCTGCTCAGTGGAAAACCCCACCAGCAAGTTAATGCAGGACCCACTGCTTTGGTAAGTGCTGCTGTTTACACATGCAATGATCTCTGTTAAGAAAGCTTGACTTCTGTTTGCTCAGTGAGGTCCTAGAGCAAAAATGTCAAAACTATTCACACCACAGTCCACTGCACAAACTGTTTTACTTGACAAGATCTTGTCCTAAATGTCTCATGTTTTCCAGCATTTGCCAGGTTCTAAATGGACCTTGTCTATATTGAGCATCCAAGATTTAATAGGCTTCAGACATTCACCCTCTGGAGTTCTCTGCCTGTGGCATGTTCCCTGGCCGAAAGAGCTACAAAAGGTATGTCTTTTGACCTATATAACTACATCTGTAGAAGCAGGAAATCCTGTTCCCATATATCTTGAGCAAAGTATAAACGATTCAGAAGGCAATACATGTCTGTACAGGGCCTTCCAGGTTGGACTCCAACATGTTTTGCTAGCCATGTGTCAAAGGGGAAGTGTGTTTCCTAGACACTCTAGAAATTAATGTACATCCATGACAAACTATTTAAATTCATGACTGGCTAAAGAAACCGTCTTCACAGCTGTCAAAGTTGGAGACTGAAAAATATAAAATTAACCAAATATTCAAATAATTATATTTTACTCCATAGATTTATCAATATAAATCAGTGGTGTGAAATCTTGGGCCCTCCGAATATTTTCACACCCAACTGCCCAAACCATAAAGTTTGACGAATAATACAGAATTATAGTGGCTGCATTTCAAATATCTGGAAGATCTTGTGTAAACATCAGACCCAAGAATTTATGTACGTTTTGGTCTGTTCTCATACCAAATTAATTTTGCAAGTGCTTTTTCATAAGTTGATTCCATCCTGTATCTTCATCGGCATGTATTTTTTAAAAATGCACAAATGTGTGCATTTTCAGCAGGCATTTTATCCCTCATCTTTCTACGCAGGTTTTATTGCAAAATTCAGATGAATGTGAGAACTAGGATATAACTGTATTCTGATCTGTTATCAGCGAAGGAAGTACAAATCAAGTCAGAATGTTTAGACAAGCAACCTCAGTAAAATCCTCAAGCTTCTCTAGACTGGAGGTTCTGAGTCCAGAGCACCATTATTTACAATTTAAATAAAGTGCTTTATTGCCATGTACTTGCACAGCTCGCCTCTAAGCAAATGTGATAGCCATGGACAAATATGTGAAGAAACACCATGCATCTAGCTCTGAATACCCCAGATTAAAAGGGAAAAACAATAGCGGCTACCATAAATAATTTCATTAAATACCCAAACATGTACATTTATAAAAGTGACCAATTAAACACTTCTATTTATTGGTCACTTTTAAAAGTGTATGTGTGTGGGTATTTAATGGAACTGTGTGGGTAACAAAACATTTCACCTTCTGACTTTTTCAATTGCTCTGGTAAAAGTATGGAAAACCAGGGCACCCAAAGGTGGAAGCCAAAATGTTTTGCTTAAAAACTTCTGTTTGGTAGTCTCTCTTATGATTGTGCATATATTTCAGTGATTAACTGCATCCCTCAAAGAGATGGGAAAAACCTTGATTTAAGGGCTATTTAGTTGTAAAGAAGAGAACCCCACTGACCCGATGTTATGCAAACATTTATAATGCTTTCTGACACATTTTAGAATTTAACATGGGCATATAGTAAAAAATAAAACAAAAAAAGAGCAAAATATAAACTATAATCTTCCCAATCCACTACAATATGCAAACAGTATCCTGAAACCATTTGTCATGTATTTCTGAAATGAGTTTCCAAATTCTCTGCAATGTATGACTACAGGTCAGACTTACCAATCCCAAGATGGGTGTTTATAGAGGCATAGCGGGCTGTGCCAGTCAGGTTTTTGTTTTCCCGGTAGGGGATGTGTTGGTGGGTGCGTGCATCACGATACTTCTTGGCCAAGCCAAAGTCAATGATGTACACTAGGTTGCCCTTCTTGCCAAGCCCCATAAGAAAGTTGTCTGGTTTCACATCTCGGTGGATAAAATTCTTGGAATGAATGTACTCAATACGACTGATCTAGAGATGGGTTGGGAAGAACCAAAAGCAGAGGGAGAGAAGGAGGAAGTTTAGAAAAGCACAGACACTAACTCCACACCAAGCTACACAGGAAGACACATATTCCAATGAAGTTAAACTGAAGACGTAATCTCAAAGAGAAACCAGGAAACATCAAGAATTTTTATAGAATCATAGAATAATTGAGTTGGAAAGGGTTTATAAAGGCCGTCAAGTCCAATCCACTGCTCAATGCATCCAAGTCAAAGCAGAACTAACAGATATATCCAGATTCCTGATATTTTAGCAGCATGAAAGCAGAAAGAAGGACCTATTCATAGGACCACCAAGGTGACAGTAGTTAGCATTTTTGAAGGGGAACATACTCCTTTCACTTGGCCAAAGCTTTTATTACAATTTTCCTGCTACCACTACATGCCATAGGGATGTGGGAAAGGGTATTCTAGTGTGTAGCTGGCCAGCAACGCCAACAATACAGTACAGTTCCATCTCTATTTCCCATGCTCAGGAATTGGGCTTCAGCCTATATTCTTCACCTACTCCTTCATCACCACCACTAAGAACATTAACCTCTTTTTTTGAGATGGCTCTATTAAAAAAACACTTAATTATCAAGTAAGTGTTCTGCTTCCTCACTCATAGGCAACAACTTAGGGTTTTGAAGTTCAAGCTACTCCTGTGAAGATGGAGAATGAAGAATAAAAAGTATGCATGCGCATCAGTGATGGGTAATGAAGAACCAAGCAAGAACTCACCATCTGATCAGCAAGCAGCAGAACAGTTTTGAGGCTGAATTTGCGGGAACAGAAGTTGAAGAGGTCTTCCAAGCTGGGTCCCAGAAGTTCCATCACCATCACGTTATAGTCACCCTCTGCTCCACACCATTTAATGGAAGGGATGCCCACTAAAAAGGGTCAGACGAGAAAGATGGGAGAGAGAAAAGCACAATGGTAAGAGGAAGAGGAGAGACTCGTTCAGAAAGTAGTCAACAAGGTGTTTACTGAAAGCTTAGTACAATCACAACTACATTCTCCCCATCATGTATCTCAACAACTCTTATGGAAAGTCATGTTGCTATTGATACTGAATGTAATACACAACTATTCAGTCTAGTAGCCATTATAGCTTTATCTCACGTTCATTTGTTTTCTGCCATTTAACTTAATAGCTGCTTTACCACATTACGTGATGGTGAATTACCTAACTTAATTATGTGTGGAAGCAGTATGTCGTTTCACCTGTCTTCAATCTTCTACTACTCATCAGCTTCAATGGGTGACTCTGGGTGCAAATATTTTAACAGTGGGGGGAAAAGTTCTCTTTATCTATTTTGTCCATATCATGAGTATTCTTATATGCCTGTCTTACCCTTCCTCACTTTTTTCCTGTGGAAAAGACCCTAGTATTAAAAAAAAATATTCTGCAAAGACGCTAAAGGCCAGGTATCAACATCAGGCTCCAAATCCCACTACACCTGGTAGCAATGCCTCTGATTTTACGAACTCACCTCCTCCCTGCATCATCTTGTAAAACTTGCTTTCGATGTGGAGCTGCGGATGCTTGGTTTTCACACATTCCAATTTAATGGCTACCTCTTCCCCTGTGGCAATATTAGCACCTGCACAAGAACACAAAGGAAGAAAATAAATGCATTTAACACCCTTCTAAACCCACGTGTCCTCCACGGACTTCACAGTGGCTCTTCTACTACTTATTGCCCTCAGAACAGCCCCCTGAAATACACTGGACTGAGCCTATTGCATTTCTGGTGTCAAGATCATCCAGCAAACATAGGTGAAGACAAACCAATGCAAGAGTACGCATCCCATTATCTCCTACACACACTCACACCCACAAATTATGGAGGAGTAATGCTCAGTATCTGGCCTTTCCCAGCTTTCTATGAATAGTAACTTGACAACTTTTATACTCAAAAACAAAAACAAAAAACAACAACAACAACCCACTTTCAAAGGAGGTTAAAGGTGCCAGTTCATTTACAGAGAAAGGGACTTTTTGTTAATTAAAGAAATTCAGGAGGGAGCAAGGAGCAAAGGCTGAAGTAAATGGTAGACAACATGTTTAAAATCACTTATTGCATATCTAGCTCATGGAATCTCTTTCAATCTTGAGAAAATGCACATACACATAAACAACACAAATTTATCCTATAAAAGCCAACTGCTGTTTTTCAAGTCAGAACTGACTTATAGTGATTCTAACACAGCAATCAAGATATTTAAGGAGTGGTTTTACTGGTTCTACACTCCCAGTGAAATCCCATGGCTGAGCAAGAATTCAAATCCAGGCATCCCAGAACCCATTCCTTTATCCACTACACCATACTGAGTTTGTGCCCATACACACGGCCACAAATATATAAATGGCACTGAAGACGAATAAACTACTGGGTGCAGCAAAGATCTCAGCATGTGTTCAACACCAGGTCATGTATCATCTATAATAAATATATCACAGCAAAAGGAGACACTTAAAGTAGAATATTATCCGTGGGAAGAAGCCATTCCTAAAGGATGCATCAGAGGCTGGAAGTGGAAGTCTCAATACTTGTGGGTGGCTCACTAGTTTGCCTACAGCACTCACTAGGAAAATGGAGCACAAGTTGCTGTCTGGTCTAGCTGTACAGGGGAAGCAATAGACTTGAACCAAGAACATCTGGGTGAGAATTTTGACTTAGCGAACAACTGCTTGGTTAGTAAAAGGCAGGCCAATCCTCTTCTACTAGTTAATTACTGCTTAAAAAACTAAAAATAAATAACCTCATAAAATACAAAAAGAACACCTCCTGTTCACACATTAGACTTCATTATTCTAAAGGAAAATGTCTATTATGCAAGGCTGTTCTTCAGGAAGATATAATTGGTTCCAACTGACTCTTGAGTGTATGCTTCCCGGCACATTGCTGTGTGATGTGTGAAAAGGCCTTTGGGAATGAAAAACGTAACACAAATGAAGACTGTAAGTGTTTGCCACACAAAGGACATGGGTCAGAAAAGGCACCATCTATAGAACAAGAATACCAGTAAAGCACATGTGTGTGTGAGCATGCACACAGCGCCAGTAGTGTCATGAATTAATTTTGACTAAACTCAAAGTCACATATGTGGCTTTTCAATATAGAGAAAACGTCATTTTTAACCATCCTCTCCATGACCCTGCAGTAAAGGCATATCAGTTTTGAAGATGCTAGGAATCATACGTCTACCTGCAGTAGAATTTTGTTACAGTTTAATAGTTTTTGTCCACACATCTCCATGAAACTAATACACCACTTCTGGCAAAGCACTGTGTATATTGCTAAATCTGCACAAACGTCATTTAAAAGCTAGGAATCCCTAATTTTCCCCTTCTTTTTCTGAAAATCACACAAATCAGTCCATCCCACGTCTATGCATGGGCTGCCTTCTTCAGCTTTCCAAGAAAATAGAGGAATTACACACAAATAATGCAAAACCTTTTCTGTTTATCAATGCAAAACATATACACGTACACCAGGAGAGGGAGATTTGGTAGCAAATTAAGGTGCAAAGAGACTGCTACAGATGAAGTACCCTTCTATTTCTTGTTTAATTAAATGTTGACATGGAGGCGCTAAATTCAAGTGCCACCAAATCTAGAAACTGTTTCATTGCAATGCACAATTCAATTCTTTTTATTTAGAAAAAAAACTAATATTCCTTTACTGAGGTAAAAAGAGGGTGTCACTTCTTTGCCTTGCACCTGTCGAAAAGTTCCTGTACATATCCAACAGACAAAAATAACAGCAGAAAGATGGGTCTATAATAGTCTCTTTCCTCATTTCTAGAAAGTGTGTCATGAGCACAGCTGGAATCTAGATATATAAAGGACAAAATAGAAGGTTTCTACTCAGAACAAACAATGTTTGATAAGCTTTTATTAGGTTCAAAAGATAAAATAGTTAAGAAAATGTGTAACTATCTGTTAGAAATCAAAATGCAAGACGAAATGGTTAAAGAATGTATGATTAAGTGGGCACAAAACCTAGGGCGTAATATTGATATTGACCAATGGTTCAAAATATGGCAAAATAATATAAAGCTTACAAGATAGGTTAAATTTAAGGAGAATATATACAAGATGTTTTATAGGTGGCATATGACTCCAGAAAAATTGTCGAAGATGTGTGTTGGAAATATGAAGCACATGTGGGAAGCTATTATCATATGTGGTGGTCATGTAGAGTAGCGAAACAATATTGGAAAAGACTACATGCTGTATTGCAACAAATGTTGCTTTGTAAGGTGCTATTAACCCCAGAACTGTTTTTAATGAGTATGATACCTGATAACATAAATAAGTCAAAGGAGTATACAGTTACTATATATATAGTCACTGCAGCCAGAATTCTTTATGCCAAAAATTGGAAAAGTCCGACGGTACCGAAACAAGAAGATCTCATTGAGAAGATACGGGAAACAGCGGAAATGGACATTTTATCAGAAGTGATGAAGGACTGTCCTTTACAAAAGGCAACTGAAAGATGGGACTTAATTCTCTAAATGGATTGCGTTAAAAGACAGCGTATGAAGAGCATACATTGAAATGAGAACTTAAATCTGGAAGGCAGAAAAGAGTAAAAAGAGTAATTTGGAATTTTGATATGGCAATATGTATAGAATGGATGTTAGTATGTTATTGTTTCTCCTCTTCCCTCTTAAACTCAATTCCCTTTTCCCTTTTTGTCACCCCTTGTTAAAAATAAAAATTAAAAAAAAAGAAAAGAAAGTGCGTCATTAAAGGCACAATAATTCCACAGGAAACAATAAAATGAGAAAACCTCAGCAAAACACAAGTTTGCACAGTGTACACTGATATTAAAATCACTGTGCAATTTATGCACGTATGTATCTGTTTTCTGTTTCCCGACCAAGAAAATATAGCCATTATGCATAATATTACAGGTTCAAACAAGTGAAAAACATTCTGTCCTGGTCAAAAGTTATTCAAAGGTATCCAATTTAGCCATCTCAAACATTGCTAGAAATGCTACTTATTCAGATCCTCAGCTCCCTCAAAATGCAAGTTTTTTATACTTATTCTCAGAGCACAAGCAAAGGGGATAATCAAGTGATTTTTTTAATAGAAAACTTGGATTTTTAAAAAATAAATCAGTTTTTTACTGTTAAAATGCTTTTTTGCTTTACAAGAAGCCCCAAATAAGTAAAACTTTAATTTAAAATGTGTTCCACATCAAAGAGCTCATTAAGGAATAGGAATTATAATTCTTATTTTATATTATGAAACAAAGTACTTACATAATAATTTTCAAAAAAGTTTAGTAAATAGCATCTACTGGTTCTTAGAATGGGCTTTGATTATATATAGATTTTATATATAATCGTTGCTGTACAGATTTTTAGGTTACCCTTTCTACCTTCTCTGATTTTCAAGTCTCTTGTTGTTATGTACCATGAAGTCAGAACTGATTCATGGTGGACCCTAATGTGGTTTCCAACGTAAGTGAAGTATTTAAGGAGTAGTTTTACCAGATCCAATGGGATGTGGTGGCGCAATGGGACATGGTGGTGCTGTGGGTTAAACCACAGAAGCCTCTATGCTGCAAGGTCACAAGACCAGCAGTTGTAAGACTGAATCCACACGACGGAGTGAGCTCCTGTAGCTTGTCCCAGCTCCTGCCAACCTAGCAATTCGAAAGCATGTAAAAATGCAAGTAGATAAATAGGTACCACCTCAGTGGGAAGGTAATGACGTTCCATGTCTAGTCGTGCTGGCCACGTGACCAGGGAAACTGTCTTCGGACAAACACTGGCTCTATGGCTTGGAAACGGGGATGGGCACTGCACTCTAGAGTTGGACACGACTGGACTAAATGTCAAGGGAACCTTTACCAGATCCAGTTTCCGTGGCAGAACTGAGGAATCTAATCCAAGTCTACAAGTCCATTACTCTATCCACTGAGTACCTGACTTTCAGTCTAGTGAATTACTATTTGAAAAAAAAATGTTCTTACACTGGGTTTGCGTTTCCAGAGATAAATAGCTGCTGAAAGCAAGATGTAGAGAAAAAAAAACCACCTATTTTCCAAATGTGACAGAAGATACTCCTGAAGTTTTTCCTCTCCCGACTTGATATACTGTATTATTGAAAAATTCTGAAAGCCCTATTAAAATTCCCAAGTTTGTTTTCAATATTTTTCCTGAGTAATGCTTGTTCTTTTAGAATGGTAACTTAAGTGGCTGTGTCCCTCTGCAATTTTGTAAAGCCAAGCCATCCCCTCTCTCTGGAAACTATATAATAGGTCATCATGATCTTAAAACTGCAGAGCTGGAAGGGCTCTATGGATTGAGGCCTGCCCCTATCAGGGAGGCACAGTGTGGATACCTAAACCACTGAGCCATCCAGCAGTTCTCATATACTTTCAGATACTTCAAGCCAATAAATGGATTATTTAAGGTGGAATCAATACAGGTAAAGAAACTGTAAGAAATACATGTTGTGGTTGAAAACCTGTTATTAAGTGTAATAAGTCACAATAGAGTGGGCCCATTGAATCAGTGGGGATCCAGTGAGTCAGTTCCTCTGTATATTCCATATAGTGAAATGGGCCTACTGTAT